GGTAAACCCTTCTGTTTTAATAGCTCTGTGAGATACCCTAAACCCTAGACCCCTAAACCCGAAACCCCCTAAACCCCGAAACCCCTAAACCCCCCAAACCCCTAAACCCCTAAACCTCTAAAACCCTAAAACCCTAAACCCCTAAACCCCTAAACCCTAAACCCTAAGCATTAAGGTCCCTACATCGGACCAGTGAGCCTCGAGAAATCTCCGAAGACAAACCCCGACCCAGCACCTCGAACTCGACTACTATAAACTCGATTACTATAGAAGCCTAAAATATTACTTATATTGTTCCTTAGGGTTCCTTATTATACTTATGGTATATTGGAGCCTAATAATTACCTATCGTCGGTTGAGGGGTTCCTTATTATAATTAGGCCCCAAAACCTTATTGTAGTTATTAAGGCCTCTACATTATGCAGCGCCTGGGAGGCTTGCCTTGGATGCCCGATGCCCATATGTGGGAGTTTCAGAAAATAAGGGATACCGTATGACGCGGGTCCTTATAACAAGGATCCTACTATTTAGGGTGCTAAATTAGGGTCCCCTATTTTCGGAAGCCCCCATATCGACGAAGTGCAATAGGCATACCTCCGTGGACGTATGTGTATACATGTATATATTTACCCGAGCATGGACGCGATATGAGAACAAGAGAAAGCGCTCAGCGTAGTCCAGCACACCAACGACCTGCAGGAACGCCTCCTTTCCACGCGGTGGAACAAGCAGGCGGTTGTCTTAGGTCTCATGGATGTTCGTCGTGAAATGCCTAATAGATGAAGCTCTTCTGATAATCAGTATCCGGAAAAGGCACTTGAATCTCGAGCGTCAGCATTAGCGAGTTGCGATTTATGCGAAGTACAAAACCCACTGCCCAATCTCTGTGAACCATGATCCTTTGTCCTATTCCCGCCAGCATAATGAAGACAGCTTCAGCGAAGATGGTACTGATACGGTCCACGTGCGACAACACCTTGCTGATGAACCGGTCTGCTTGAGGCACTGATGATGATGATGGTGATGATGATGAAGAAGATGATGAAGATGCTGAAAATGCTGAAGCTGAAGATGAAGATGATGATGAGGATGATGATGATGATGATGATGATGAGGATGAGGATGAGGATGAGGATGAGGATGGGGATGAGGATGAGGATGGTGATGATGATGATGATGATGGTATCAATGATGACAACGATGACGGTGATGCTGCTACGCTGATGATGATGGTGCTGACGACGAGGTGAGGTCGGAGAAGGACGATACAGCCATCGCCATGTTGCCTGCATGCACCCTTTAACACTCAGACACACATTTGGCGGCCAAACTCGGCAAGGACGAAGATGCCAGGAGATCCCCAGATCAGGCTCTCAACAAGCGAGTCAGGATGCCACTACTGCTGATGAACAATTTCTGCATTGCCTTCACTTCCTAAACTGCGAGGAATAAGGCACTAGGTCCTTGTGATATGGACAATGCTGAGAATTTTGCACCCCCAGCCGTAGCTAAAGGCATTGGCATTTCAGGTTGTAGTTTACAGCCGATTCGAGTACTCCCTACCTTAACCAATTTCATGCCTAAACTTCCCAAACCACTAAAGCCCCCAAAGCCCTAAAGCCTTAAACCCGAAAGCAGTGTGGAGTCAGGTGGACTACTCGGCGTGGAGAATTCCATCGCATTCTCACCACGAGAGCTTCCTGAAACCTGGGGACGGCGGCGCCCTCAGCCTGGATCCGTTTCGGGTTTTGGGTTTATGGTTTAGGGATGTTTAGGGTTTTGGGTTTGGGGATGTTAGGGTTTAGGGTTTATGGTCTAGGGATGTTAGGGTTTAGGGTTTATGGTTTAGGGATGTTTAGGGTTTTGGGTTTGGGGATGTTAGGGTTTAGGGTTCATGGTTTAGGGATGTTAAGGGTTTAGGGTTTAGGGATGCTTAGGGTTTTGGGTTTTGGGGTGTGCGGTTAGGAACGTGCCGGCTGGAAATTTAGGATTAAGGGCTTAGATTTTGGTTTGGGGTTCGGGTGTGGGTTTGGGGTTTGAATTCTTGGGTTCAAGTTTGACAATATTCCACAGGCTTCCCGCATATACCTGTCGTATAACATTTCCTCAAAGCCCGTTCGTGCAAATATTGAGGCCCCTTTTTAGTAGACGGCAGTTTTGGTGCTTCAGTCTGTACATGGTGAAAACTGGCAGACAAAGGGCATCAGAACGGGAAAGACGTAGAAATCAGGAAGAACTCTTGAGGGTTTCGGGGTTTAGGGTTTTAAAGGAACTCCTGTAGGAGCCCTGACGACAAGCTGTGGCTTCCAGCCTTACATCCTTGCACTGCGACCACAGGCTTGTAGCGCAATCCCCGCCCATGAGGCCCTGCTCCACCCCCAAACCCCCGAAACCTTGAAGCCCCCTATAATATAGGGGCCTTAATAGTTCGAATAGGGATTTGGGGTCCATTATCCTATAACTATAAGAGGAAACCCCCAAATAATATAGGTAGTTACTGAGGCCTCTACATTAAACCCCTTCAAGCTTTCCAAAAACTTTACGTCCCCCAAAAACCGCTTCATTAAGAGAAAGCGATGCTGTGGGGCTGAATTAAACCCGGAAGCCCCAAGTTCTGTGGTGCAAACCAGACGCCGAAATAACCACCGATAGTTATTCCTTAAGGGCTCCTTATTGCAATTATTCTATAGAGAAGCCCAGAGCCCTGTGCCAATTATAACGGCCCCTGTATTAGCCCAGGGGCTGAGTAGGTAACCTTTAACCTTTTGGGGCTGTTATAATCCTACCATATGTTACCGTAAACCCTAAGCCCAAAGCCCTAAACCCTGATCGCTAAACCCTAAACCCAAAGCCCTAAACCCTAAGCCCAAAGCCCTAAACCCAAAGCCTTATACTTCAAAACCCTAAACCCTAAACCCCTAACCCCCTAAACCCTAAAAGGCTAGGGTACGCAGCCCCTGAGTTAGGTGTGCGCCTGACCGTGAGCCGGAGTCATCCGGAGCTAAATGGCGCCTGGGGGCCAAGTAACTCCATGACGGGGGCCCGGGCTCTTTAGGCCTTTACGGTTTAGGGTTATAGAGTTGAGGGGTTTAGGATTTAGGGGTTTAGGGTTTTAGGGTTTAGGGTTGAGGGTTTGGGGTTTAAGTTGTTTTCTAGCGTTTGGGGGCGTGTAGGGTTTTGCAAGGTTTAGGGTTGCTGTTGAACAGACTAAGTTCTTCAGGTCGCTGTAGAGTTTCAGGGTTGATTAGGGCTTGTCCTGTATAGGATGCTTGGGGGTTCTGTAAGGTTTGGGGTTTCAGGTTTAGTGTATACGTTTTCTCGGGTACTCTGGGGTTTTGCAGGGCTAAGTGTTTCAGGTGTAAGGGCTCAGTGTAACTCTGTTCAGGGGTCTGTGGGGCTTAGGGTTGCGTCGGCTAGAGGGCTTGGGCTCTTATTCGGGTTCTTGTAGGTTTTCTTTTTTGAAACCCTAAACCCTAAACCCCTAAACCCCTAAACCCTAAACCGGGGGGTTTAGGGGGGTCCTGGCGATCCCGAACCCCATGAAACCCTAAGTTTGAGGTCGGACTCCTTGGCCGCTTTTGGTGGGTGGAGGGGATGGAGCTTCCCTGTATTACGATAAGCAAGCTTATATGATTTACTACAGATCCCCATTATGGGAGCTTAAAGTGAGCTCCAGAGAAAGAGCCTTACGCCCTAAAGCCTTAAAACTCTATGAAACCCTAGCCCAAAGCCTAAACCCTCAACCCTAAACCCTGTCGAGGCCAGCGGCACCGTTCTCTGCGTCGACCGTCCAAGTGACGGTGGCTTTGTCACGGCCCAGAGCTTGGCCCGAGCTCCGCTGTCTCTGCTTAAGCGAAAACCCTAAACTTTAGGGTTTAGGGTTTTGGGTTAACCGTAAACCCTAAAACCCGGCTTCAGTGAAAGTTGACCTTTAGGGCTTTAGGGTTTTAGGGACAGGGGGTGCAGGGATGAATTAGGGCTTCAGGGTTAGGGGTTCAGGGTGAAGGGTCTAGGCTTATGGTTCAGAAGTTTAGGGCTAATGCTTTAGAGTTATGATTCAGGGTGTAGGACTTAGGCCGAAGGTGGCCATGTTGTCGCCAGGTGCAGTCAGTTGGCACATGCTGAGGTGTTGTCTATGTCAGTGCTCAAGTCAAGAGCGCGTAGAGGGGAAGGCCATCTCACGTCTCTTGCGCTGTCTCTTTGCCATGGCAGGGGTGAAGATCCAAGTGAAGTTGGCTGGCACCACAGAGGTACCGAAAAACTTCCACCGTGGCAAAGCGCAGCACAAGGCTCTTGGCAACGCATGGCAAGTTTCGGAGTTCGGGTTTGGTCCCCTCATCACCCGGGATCGGAAACTTGCGGTGGAGTGAATGGAGTGGTACCTAGCTTCGAGAAGCCGCAGGCATCCGAGCTAGCAGCTAGCGGTTATCCTCAACACTAAACCTATTCAAAAGGCTGAGAAAGGAAAGGGCCTAAGACATCGCTGGGTTCTGTGAGTCAGTGGGAACTGTGGGAGTAGCCAAAGCAACATTCGTGCTTCGGGTTGGCCAAAAGATGGCAAAAGTGGGCCAAGCCACGAGAAGCATGTCAATCAGATGGGTCAGATGATTACGAACATTAGTGCCGGACGGGCGAAGGGATCCATTCTTTGGGCGTCCCTGCATATTGATTCTGTCCGAATGAGTACGGCAGCAAGACGAGCAACAGCAATCGAAAGTGAGTGACTGCAGCATCAGACCAGGAACTGTTGTCGGAAGCTTGCAAACAGGGCGGGTTTAGGGCTTTGAGTTTTGGGCATGGCAGCTGCAACTGCAAGAGGACAGCGGTTCCTCACAGGTATTCAAGGAATGAAAACCATCATGGGCAAAAGTGATTCGCTCTGAGCGCGACAACAATCATAACGTCAAGCTTCAGCCCGACCTAATCTAGGGGCCTAAATAATTACCTGTACTATTTTCAGGGGGTTCCTTATTATATGTATAGTACATTGGGCCCCCAAACCCCTATTCCAATTATTAAGTCCCCTATATATCATTGATCCTTGAACCTCTTGACCCCTTCCTCCTGAAACCTCGGCACGAACTCCAATGACGCCCTGATGCCCGAAACCCCCAAAACCCTAACCCCAAACCCCTAAACCCTGAATAGGAAGTCCAGAGCCTTCCTTTTCACTCCTGGCATTTGCCGGAACCTCATGGTTTCAGCGAGCGACCTGGTCGTACAAAGGGCTTGGAGGTTTGTCCGTTCTGGGCGGAGCATTGGGGCGTGTAATGTAAGGGGCCAGAAGAATTACCCACAGTCTCCATTCCCCGAAAAAGAACTACAATGGAGGCTGTAGGCTATAGGTAATACTTAGTAGTTCTATTCCTTTGATTTGCGAGGGTTCCTCAGCCTTCAAGCTGTTTTGGCCTCCTTAGTCGCTGGGTATAAGCTGGTTGTTCTTCGGCATCACCTCCCGACGTTGGAACCTCGACTTCAAGTAAGGATTCGAAAGCTAAGTCCTCAACCCCTAAACCCAGAAACCCTTAAACTCCTGAACCCTAAAACTCTAAAACTCTAAACCCTGAACCCTAAACTCCTAGAACCCTAAACCTGGAAACCGACAAAGAACCCTCAGGCACTGTGCCCATTTGCCCCAATCTCCCAGACCTTCGTTGCGGCAGTGGCTGCCAACTTTACCACACCGAAACCCTAAACCCTAAACTCCAAACCCTAAACCCTAAACCCCAAACCTAAACCCAAGCCCTAAACCCTAAACCCCACACCTAAACCCTGTAACCCCTAAGCCCACAACCCTTCACGGTTTGAGGCACAC